CACTCACAGTTTTGTCCACACCCTTAGACTCCACCCACATGATCAGGCCCCACCCACACCTTCAGGTCCCACCTACAACCTCAGGCTCCACTCACATCACCAGGCCCTACCTACAAATCTTTCTCCTTCAAGACCCCCATCCTTTGCAGCCTGTGGTCCGAGGATGCCTCTCTGGGCCCCTGGGAGCCCCTGCTCAGCCTGCATGTCTCCCTTTGCCTGGCCACCTCACCTGCTCCCAGAGGACTCCGCTTCGCACGGTGGCCTCCTCTGCCACCCCTCACACTCCCCCAACCGGTTTCGCTGAGTTGCCCCCTCCACTCTCACATTTACAGATGGCCCCAGTGTTGCTCAGGTCAGCGTGTAAGGGCAGAGGCTTGGATGTTGGTTGCAGAGCTCGGGCTCAGCTCATTGCGGAGCGACTGGACACGGGGTTTCAGATGGCCGGTCTTGGGGAGAGGAGCCCTGCGGCTAGTGGGTCAAGCATCTAGTTAACTGCAGTCAGAAGCCACCAGCGGCTCTGCGGGTGAAAGATGAGGCTGCCCTTCCCCGGAAAGATTCATCCTTGGAAGCCTTAGGGACAGTTCCACTCTGCCTCAATGGGGGCGCTCCGAGTTTGGTTTTGAGGTGGCCTGGGAGGCCAAACTCGGGTGCTCTGTTGTCAAAAGGGGTGGCTGGTGTTACAGGTGGCAGTCAGAGCCTGAGCCTTGCTTGGCAGTGCTGTTGGCCCCTCACCGGTGTGGCTGTCATTTAAAGGTGACTGGATACCTCAGATGCAAAGTGGGGCCTCTTTACCTTTATCTTAAAAAAAACACCCCAAACCTCATTGCCATCGATTCGGTTCAGACTCATGGCAACCCTGTAGGGGAGGGTAGAACTGCCCGGTGAGCTTCCTTCTCTTTCTCCCATGGAGCGGCTGGTGGATTGGAACTGCTGACCATGCGGACTGCAGCCCAATGGTCCCCAAGGCTCCTTGACCTTTGTAAGCATTGCAGACCAACGACAGGGGCTGGGTGGGGTACAGTCCCCCTCCTCCCCAAGCTTCTGCATTTGCCTGTAAGTCTCAGATGAGGTCGACTCAGCCGTTCCCCACGTCCAGAGCCGCCCCGTGGAGGGGGCTTGGCAGGTGACATAGGGACATGAGGGTGCCTGGTTCAAGGGCCCATTTGCTACTAGTGCCACCTCCTGCCCGGGCCTGGTGAGAGGGCTGCCACCAGGGGCTCAGGTTGCAGGTCTCTCTGCAGCAAAGAACGTTCCCAGAATCCACAGGGAAGAGGTTTAGAAATTAAAGCCAGCTGCCAGCTCAGTTCCTGGATTTCCGTCTGGTGCCTGAGAGCAGAGGGGGACGAGTCAGGAGGGTGTCACTCGGGTGGCAGGAGTGAGTCACCCGGGAAGGACTTAAGCATCCGATCCGGGCCAGGACCCACCTCAGTGCTCCAGGGACCCCAGCGCTCTTTGTGGTGGGGAGGCAGGGCCTCGGAGGCGGTTGTCGGAGCTGCTCCCTGGGCCTGAGAGCTGACCTTACTCTCTGAGATCCCCAGGCTTCTGGGTCCAGCAAGGCTGAGCTGGCGGGCGGGGCCCTGGGCTGCAGTAGGCCTGGGACCATGCCTGCCTCTCATTATGGTTCCCGAGCTGGATTCTTGAGCTGAAGCCCAGCCTTACACCCTGGTTCCGTCTTCCCAAATCTTGGATGCTTACCTAAAACACAGCACTAAGGCTGGCCTGCCTCAGCTCCCACCCGGCACCTGGACGAAAGGGGCGACTCTGGGTGAGGGGGGGGCCCTGGTTGCCGGGTAGCACCAAGAGGCTTCAACGCCGAGGCTTTGGGCTTGGGCAGCTTTGGGTTCAAGTCCTGCCTCTGCTTCTTCAAGCCTCTATGCTTCTGGGCAATGACCTGACTGTTGCTGAGCCTCCACTGACTCCGCTGTGGCCAGTGTCCATGGAGCCGATTCCAACCCGTGGGGCTTCCAGGCCTTTATCCTTAGGTGCTTCGGGTGGACTAGAACTTCCAGCCTTATGGTCAGCAGCTGGTGCATTCACCATTTGCCCCACCCAGGGTCTCCGCGCATCAATCACGCAAGGGCAAAATAATAGTGCTTCACTTTGTAGGACAGAGAAGCGCTGGTGGCGTCGTGGTTACGTGTTGGGCTGCCAAGGACAAGGGCAGCAGTTCGAAATCACCAGCGGTTCAGAGGGAGAAAGACGAGGCTTTCTAGCCCCCTAAAGGGGTACAGGCTCGGAAATGGTCAGCAGCTGGTGCATTCACCATTTGCCCCACCCAGGGTCTCCACGCATCAGTCACGCAAGGGCAAAATAATAGTGCTTCACTTTGTAGGACAGAGGAGCGCTGGTGGCGTCGTGGTTACGTGTTGGGCTGCCAAGGACAAGGGCAGCAGTTCGAAACCACCAGCGGTTCAGAGGGAGAAAGACGAGGCTTTCTTTAGGGGTAAAGAGGTACAGGCTTGGAAACCCACAGGGGCAGTTCGACCCTGTCCCGTGGGGCCCCTGTGGGTAGACAGCGACTCAAGGGCTGTGACTGCGTTCTGTGGGGTACATGCGCTAATCTCTGTAAACCTTTCAGCATGAAGCCTGGCGGATAGGAACTGTCTGATAAACACTGGATGTTCTTATTCTCATCGTCATTATCCCAGGTGACACCCGTGGAGCCGTCTCCACTTCCAGTTTGGGAAAGGGGCTCGTGATGAAGGCACGCAGTTACTCTGTGACCGGACTCTGCTTGGGAGGGGTTTAGTGTCCCATGCCATGGTGTGTCCTGATGGGTGGACTCCTCCTAGCAGGCTTCGTGGCCTGTCCCGGTGGCTTCGCGGCACGTCCCGGTGGCCTCGTGGCACGTCCCAGATGGGAAGCCCGGCAGCAGGGTCTCCGTGTTCCTGGAGAAGTGGGTTTCTTGCTAGGAGCGTGTTGGAGGGGCTGGGGTGGAGGGTGGTGCTGGCCTGCTGCTCCCTGGTCACTTCAGAGAGCCGTGTCAAGGCTTCCCAGGGGGGTGGGCAGCATGAGGGAGAAGGTCAGCGCTAGGCATGGCTGCTGTGCCAGTTCCTTGCCCTCTTCTGTAAAGCTGGTCTCCAGAGTGCACCTCGGGCCTGCTCTGAGCCAGCACTTCAGGATCCAGGACCAGAGCAGTGGGCACTGCTGCTACTGTCCAAGTCCCAGACTGCTCAGTCTTGGCCGGGCACTGGCCTGGGTCACAGCACTCTCCTACCAGGCGGTGTCCATGGGCAGCACCGGCTGCAGTCTGAGGGGCAGGAAACCCGGGAGGACGTCTCCCTTGTTGCCTCTCCGTCCTGGGTGGCGTCTCCTGCAGCAACCCTGGGCTCCCATTCCCGCTCCTGCTCCTGCTGCCCAGCCCCTCCCAGCCCGGCTCTAGAAGTATGGCCTCCTCCCTGTCTCTTCCTCTCATTCCTGTCCAGGTCTACCTTCTCCGTGCACCGTGGACCCTGGAGGGCAGAGGTGTGGCAGCTGATTGGCAACTGTTTGCAGCCTTGGCCTGGCCCCGAGCAGTGGTCTGACAGAGTGGCTGGGAGGCCCAGGTTTCCTGAACACGAGCCCAGCTCTGCCTGAACTGTGCCAAGTCCACCATCAGGCCATTGGCGTAGAGCTGGGCCCGTGGTGGGAGGCTCGCCCCAGCCACACCCCTGCCCCAAGGACCCATTTTGTGCATAGGCGGTCTCCAAAGGACTCCTTGCCCCATGCCCCTGGCATTGCCAGCCAGAGGGGTTGTGCCATGCCCCGGCCCCCTCAGGCCCTTTGAGACTGGAGGCTGCTTTGGGCCTTCCTTCTCCTCTGTATGAAAATAGCGGCAGAGGATTTGGAAACCTGTCACGTCACACGCTGGGAACACGGTGACTCCGAGAAGCAACTGAAAAAGTGCTTTTCGGATGCCTCATTTGGAAAAAGGGAGTGGCAGCCGCAGGGATCAGATTATTGTTAAATGAAAACAACAAAAACAGCAGTCATCACACTGGCAAACAGATCAGCTCGGAGCGGCCTCGGGCCTCTTTCCCAGGGCACCCCCGCCCACCCACCTCTGCCCCCCACCCCCCAGTCACCCACCACTTCCAGCTATGCACCGCCCACCAACCAAAGAGTATGAAATAGATCAACAGCAGCAACACAAACAGCGGCCAGCAGGGCTGTGGGGTGCATGTGGATCCAGGCGGCCCCCCTGAGCTTTCTGGGACCGATTTCCCCATGTCCAGGCCTTTCTCCCGCACTGTTGCTGGGGGGCCTCAAACCATCGGTCCACCCACGACAAGAGCCACTAGCCCTCTGGAACTGCCCTGCTTCCCTTAAACAAACCAACCAACCCAACAAAGTCCTTCTTTCTCGATGCCCTAAAGAAATGGTTTTAGAGACAAACAAGTTCATGGGGGGAGGGGGAGGCGCGGAAAAAGAAATAGTTTTATTCAGGCTGGGGGTGGTGCGGGGGTACCCACCACCCTGTGACTACCTAGTGAAGGAGACCAAGTGGCCTCATGTCAGGGCAAGAGGTCTGAGGGGCTGTGTAGGATCAGCCCACGGTCAGTCCCAGGAGTGGTTTCCTACCCATCTGCCCGCACTGCCTCCTTGGGTCTGACCCATCCCCCTCTAACTGCGAGGTCTCCAACCTTTTATTTTTGTGTAGTTTTTGTTTTGTACTTAAATACCATCAAGCATACACCTCCCCGCCACCGTCAGGTTGGTTTCAATCCCTAGGACCTTACCTACAGTTGTTAAGGCCACCCATCCTCACAGGATAGGCTCATCATTCTCCCTTGGAGCAGCTGGTGCTTTTGAACTGCTGGCCTTGCAGTTAGTATCCCCCTGCTGCCCCATAGCAACACCAGGGCTCCAGAGTTGTAACCCCAATCCTGTCATTTGGTTTTCTGACAACTTGCTCAGTCCGGGGGTAGGGGTGGGGGTGGCGTGGGCCCATCCCCAGTGCTTGGCCCCCGTCGCCTCCGCTCGGCCGGCCTTGTCTCACTTGTCCTTTCTTCGGCCCCTCAGGTGCCATGACGCAGCAGCCCCAGGAGGCCTTTGACCAGAGCGTGGAGGAGGCTCACACGTGGATGGCGGCTGTGCACCGGCGCCTGCAGATCAATGACAACACCCAGGGACCCCGTGCCGCCCTGGAGGCCAGGCTGCGTGAGACCCAGGTAAGCAGAGGCCAGGTCATCTGCCCCGCACTGGCCCCCAGCCCAGCCCTTCTGCTCTCCGGCATGGTCTCTACCGCCCGCCCGCAGGCCTCAGCTTCTCTCTGTTGGATGGCAGGGTGGGCTAGCCCAGTGCCGGTCAAGCTTTGCAGTGTGAACGGTCCACCCCTGTACAGATCTGGAGAGGAGCATGGGGGCCTCATTTCTCACCTGCGCTCAGGACCATGCTTTGCTTGTCTGGCCCGGGAGCTTGTCCCCAGGCCCTCCTGTCCTGGGCAGGGACACCTGTGCGGGCAGGTGTGGCTTCTGATCCTCGTCCCTTCTTCTATATGGTGGACGTCCTGCCAGGAAGGGGCAGGGCCAGGCCTGCCCACTGAGTCCCCCCCCCCCCCCACCAGGCTTTGCCCTCAAGCTGGCTCAAGGAAGAGACTCAGAGCCTGTAACTCTAAACTGAACCCAGGGCAGAGAGCCTCCTGGATTTCCCAGCACCCAGTCTTTGCCCTGCAGTTCCCGCTGCCCGGAATGCCAGTCCCCCTGGGTCTGCGTGCGTGTGAGGGGCACCCAGCTGTTGGTGGACTTGACACAGAGCAGGGCCTGGCATGGAGGTGGACCCTGGAGACCACTGTTTGTTTTGATGCTGGCTGCAGAGACCCATCTCAAGCCATCTGTCCCTGCCCATGCCCTTCTCCAGGAGCTGTGTCCACCGGGCCACTTCTGCACTGGGTTCTAGCCCCCCACTCCCCTCATGGTCGGGGCAGCGAAGGATCTCCCGGGGCTTTGCCTTCCCAAGGCCAGCGCACGCATCCCCCAACACCTTCTGCTTCGCTACCCTCGCTCACGTCCCCACCTCAAGTGCCCGCCCCCCTCTCACGGCAGGGTGCTAGCACCAGCTCCTCCGTGAAGCCTTCTTGATTGGGCCCAGGGGCCCGCTGGACCTCTTTTCATGCTCTTCCGGCTCTTTTCCTGAACTAGGAAGAGCTGCTGTCTCAGAAAGGCCCAGTAGCCATTCTGCCCTGCGCTGTCCCTGAGTAGCGAGGAGCTGGCGTCGGCTCGGTGGCAGTGAGTGGGTGAGAGAGTGTGTGAGTGAGAAAGGGGTGATGCCTTTGAACATACCGTGCGCTGTGTAGGCAGAAGCACAAGCAAACCTTGGAAGAAGTGCAGCCAGGCTGCTCCTTAGACGCGAGAATGGGGAGACTTTGGCTCATGTACTTTGGACACGTGGTCAGAAGGGGCCAGCCCAGGCAAAGGAGCTCATGCTTGGTAAAGTGAAGGGGCAGCGAAAAAGAGGAAGACCCCCAACAAGATGGACAGACACAGCGGGCGCAGTGAGGGGCTCCAACTTCACAATTGCGAGGGTGGCGCAGGATCGGGCGGGGTGTCCTTCTGTTGTGCACGGGATGGCTGTGGGTCAGACCCGGCTCACTGGCCTCGGAGCACCGCGACTCGACAGGCCTTTGGACTCTGTCTACTACGCTCCCCTCGCTCCCCTGCCAGGCCTGTGAGCTCAGCACGGTGCTGGCACATAGGAGGTTCTCAGCTGGTCTTGGCTGGACTGAGGGCTTTGTACTCCCGTTTCTCCAGTTTTCCGGGGCCCCTGGTTCTACCCCACCCACCCCTCGAAGTTCTTCCCTCTCTACCTCATCTCCAGTGGACATGTCGTCTTCACTGGCCACTTCAGATCAGAATCATCTCGGGGAGCGGGCAAGGGTGTTCCCAGAGCTCTTTCCCAGCTGGTCCAGTGTCCTTGACCAAGTGCTTCTGGCCCGCTTCCTGGAAGAGCCTCACGCCAGCCAGAGAGCACAGTTTGACGGATGGGGCAGTGGAGGAGGGCAGAGCACCTCTGAGAACATTGCTTCCAGTCCAGAGACAGCCTCTGGCCTCGCCGACCCCAGACACCCAGTCGATTCCAGCTTCTGGTGACCAGCAGGACAGAGCAGAGCAGGCTCCGAGGACTTCTAAGACCACAGCCTCGATGGATGAAGACAGCCTCAGAGTCTGATGACAACTGGTTAACGATGATGATGCGATTTCTCTGTGAGTGGCCAGACGTTCATTCTCAGCCCTGCGTGGGGTGCAGAGTGGAAGTGGGCAATGCTACTCCATCGAGGGCCCTCAGGAGTGGTCCCCAGATCTCCAAGCCCACACCAGTCCCCCTGGGTCCTTCTGATGCTCGGCGTGGAGCTGTCCTCCAAACGGAACGCTGTGGTCTTTGACCTTTGTCCATCAGTCCTTCAAGTCCTCTTTGCTTTTACTTTCCATCCGCTCAACTCTTGCCTCTGAGTCGATTCTGACTCACAGTGATCCTGTAGGCAGGGTAGACTGCTCCTGTGGGTTTCTGACACTGCCACTCTTTATGGGAGTCGAAAGCCTCCTCTTTCTCCTAAGGAGCGGCTAGAGGTTCCGAACTGCTGACCTTCCAGTTAGCCCCCTGACATGTAACCACTAGGCCACAGGGCTCCCTTTACTTTCCATCGTCCTAGAGCAGTGAAGGAGCTTGACGGAGGCCACGTAGGGGAGGCAGCGGATCTGGCACTGGAATCTGGTCTTCCTCAACCAGTGAGCTGCCAGCTAATGGATCAAGCATCACGACTGTGCTGTTGTTCTTGCTCATTGCTGTGCATCAGCTCCGTCCCAGGACATCCATGTGCACGTGTTCACAGAGAAAATCAAGGCCCAGTCCTGTGCTCATAAGGACAGTCACTCCTGCTCATTGACATCCAGGTCTGTGTGGAGGTTGTGTGTGAGTTTTGGGCCTTTGAGAAGCAGGTGCCAGGCTCAACTGAACAGGCATTTGCTTGGCGGGGAGGGGCGGGGGAAATGCTGCAGAGGCTGGGAGAGGCAGTGACCCAGGCCTGTGGGCCCAGTCCAAGAGAGGGGACAGGGCGGGGGTGGTGGGCGTGGCTTCTGCTCAGGCTTTAGGCTGGTGTTTCAAGGAGAGTTTGGCCAGGCAGGGAGTCCTCGAACCACAGTCAACCATGCAGAGAGCCCTATGCCTCCCAGGGGCAGATAGGGCTTCTCACCCCTGCATCCTCAGCAGGGGCTGAGCACCCAAGAAGCCAAGTAAGCACAGGTTCCTTGTGCTTGTGCAGTACCCCGTAATGAACCAGTCCATGCAGCGAACCCCCCCCCCGGGGCATTGCTCATAACAGATGAGTACGTGAATACAGAAAAAGTACCAAACTCGCTGCCATCGATGCCAACACATAGCAGCCACCCTCCAGTACAGGGTAGAACAGTCCCTGTGGGTCCTTGAGACCTGAGTTAGTTAATTGTGCCAGCCTGGCCGATAATCACATGTGGGGCTGGTTGAAAGGCGGAGGGATAAATGGGTGGTGAAGCCTCGCCTTTCTAGTTCTCGGGTCTCTTGTTTTGTGATGGTTGCACCGGGTGCAGCTGCCTTAGCAGTTCCCTGCTTCAGCTTGCAAGATTGACTTCCTCCAAGACATCCCCAAGGAGAAGCCACATGGACCTATCCTGATGCGGCCCTGGGTGCTGGAGCAGCTGTGTCGAGACCCCTGCTAGTGCTGAGATGCTTATTCGTTCACTGACTCAGCTTTCCTCCTGCAGTCGGCATCATTGCCTCTGTTTTGTGAGGTGGAGGACTTTGTGGACTGGTGTTGGGTTAATGGGTTAATGTTGGACTTGTGGGCTTGGGCAGCATTGGGTTGGGATGTTTTCATGATGCACATTTTCTTTACATAAAACTCTCTCTTATCCATGAGTTGCTGTGGATTTGTTTCTCCAAAGTACCTAGACTAATACAAGATCATAACTCTTTATGGGTGTAGAAAGCCTCATCTTTCTCCCATGGAGCGGCTGGTGGGTTCGAACTTTGGACCTTGAGGTTAGCAGCCCAATGAGTGACCTTGTTTATTGGGAACCCAACACTGGTGCTGGCTGTCAGCAGCTCTGGTGGAGGGGACCAACCTCTGTGGGACCCAAGCAAGGACACTGTACTCCCTGTGTTCATCTAACCCCGCAAAGACTCTCCAAACCAGGGTCTGGGCACCACTCACACCTCAGTCACGACGCCGGAAGTGGGCCCAGGCAGGGCCGCAGGGAGGGCTCTGGCTCGCGTCACCACAGCGCAGTTCTGGGTTCATCCTCGGCTTTGCCCCTTCCCTCTACCCCAGGCTCCCAGCTGCTGCTCTGGCCTCAGTCTCGGCTCTCAGCTTAGTGCCACCGTCTGCCCAGCCCGAGCCTGCTGGAGTTGCGCCCTGGCCCAGGAAAGTGGCGTTTGTGTCCCCAACAGGAAATCTGCCAGTTGGAGCCCGAGGGGCTTGTGAAGGTGGAGCTGGTGCTGTGTGCAGCCGAGGCTCTCCTGGGGCACTGCCTGGAGACCCAGAAGCCTGAGATCGTGGCCCAGCTGAAGGAGGTCAAGGCCCGGTGGGAGGAGACAGTCACCTACATGACTCATTGTCACAGGTAGGATGGTTGCCCCCCCCTGCCAAGTCCCCTGGAGTTGGGGCCAGCCCTGATGAGCAAGTCCTCATTGCCACCATTTTGCCAACCATTCTCCTTCCTCCCCTTCTTCTCATTAATTTGGACAGTGTCATGACAGCTAATTCCATATCATACAATTCACTGGTCTAAACATAGCAAAACGAGTTTTTCGGTCATCACCACAATCCATTTGAGAACCTTTTCTTCTTTCCTGTACTCATTGTTAACTCCCTGTTTCCCCCCAACCTCCGCTGCCATCGTCCCGAGAAACTCTTACACCAGGTACTGTCTCTATAGATTTACGTATCCTGGATGTCATAGAAAGGAAAACTTACAAAACAAAAAGCAAAAGTATATACACACACACACACACACACACACACACAAACAAAACAATAACAAAATAAAACATAGGACACATCCAGTTGGAAAGATCACGGAAAATAATAAAAACTAGAACAAATTCACAATGGCTCAAACGGGAGAACAGAGGCTAGATAAGGTGGTACGTTCCAAGGTGGTCACGTCTGCATTAGTGGACCAATCACTTTTCAGTGCTCTTTGACTGACAGCACGTTCTTCACAGCCCTGCCCAGGGTCAGAGGGATTCACTGAGGCTTCTCCCAAGTGAGGACCCTGCACAGGGATTTGGGGCTTTCACTGTCTTTCATGGCCTTCTGCAAACTGGTGCTCAGAATTTAAGCTCTAATACCATTCCCTCCTTGGGTCTTGGATTTTATTATTTACGATCCTTGGATCACACCGGCAAGTGTGCTTTTTCTGTGCAGACTTAGCTGTCTTCTCACTTAGATGGCTGCTTTTTTAAAAGACAAGGCTCTAAGATCCCAGACATCTGATAGCCAGACATCTTTGATTTCTTCACCACACTAACCATTCTTAATGAGCTTGTCACGTGTCCACCCCTGGGTGGAAGAACGAGGGTCCAGGGGTAAGAACGCCCATTGCCTTGCCGGAAAGCTAGCCCAGATGCTCTGCTGGTACCTGGGAGCCAAGTGGTGGGAGGGACCAGGTACGTTAGGGAGGAAAGTCAGGCTGACCTGGGGTTGACTCCAGAGGGGTCTCTTCAACACCCAGTCTCCTCATCTGGACACGGGGGTACCCAGTGTCCCATGCAGGTTGGCGGGAGGCTGGAAAGAAGTATCAGAAGTCAAGGGCCAGGCCCTGAGTGGGGGCACTCAGCAGTCCCTCTGGCAAGCGCAGCTGCCAGCACCCTGTCTGTCTTCCTAAACCGAGGTGGTGAATGGAGACCGAGGGGCACCCTGCACAGCGCTCTCTGCTTTCCAAATTCTTTCTCTGGAGACCCCAGGCCAGGTGGCATGGTGTGTGTGAGAGAAAGGGCATCATTGCTGTGTTGCACATGAGAAAACTGAGGCAGATGAAGAGGCAGGGCTGTGTAGCAAGTTCGTAGCACTGTGGCATCCTGATGTCTACCCCCAAACCTCTTTCATCCATCCCATTTCCTTAAGAAGCACATGGATCCCATCGTACTCTGCCAATTATCTTCAGAATCCCCAAAGCAGTCTGGTGCCTGGCGAGCCAACTCCAAGGAGAAATGGCCGGGGGTCTGTGTGCCATTAGCGGGAGGAGGTCAGGGCTGGGATTTGGAATGTGGCTGGTGAAGAGTCCACAGGGCAGCATCACCAAGCCTGGTGCCTCTTGGAGTGACTCTGGACACCAGACGTCCTCTGCCTGCACGTTAGTCAGTTCCTGGGGGGGATGGGGGGCTAAGGGTGGTTAGGTGACTAACCAAAAGGTTCACCAACGGAATTGAACCAGAGGTACGTTGGAAGAAAGGCCTGACCCTGTGCTTCCAAAAGCTTTGTAAACCCTCTGGAGCACAGCTGTACTCTGGAACGCGGAGTGGCCACGAGTTGGAATCAAGCAAGGACAACTTTTGTTTGTTTAATGCCTGCTCCTCGACTCCCCCTTGGAACTTCTTGCTAAGACACAAAACAAAACACCTAGCTCACTCCTCGTGAGTCATCTCTGACTCATAGCCGCCCTGTAGGACAGAGTGGAACCACCCCTGTGGGTTCTGGAGACTTGAAATCTTTCTTCTGCGTGAAGGGATTGGCGAGTCTGAACCACTGACCTCGTTGTAGCAGCTCAATGTGTAGCCTGCTGGATCCTATCCTGTAGGACTGATGGGATTAGGGCTCAGTCTTGGGGGTTAGCAAGCTTCTCAGGGGACTCTCAAGTTGGAGAGGGTGTTGCTGCTCCCACACCTACCCCGTCGTGCTGGGAGGGAGGCAGCGGCAGGGCCGGCTGCCCAGGAGGTGGGTGGGCTGGCTTCATGGCCTCCTCTCCCCGTGTCCACAGCCGCATCGAATGGGTGTGGCTGCACTGGAGCGAGTACCTGTTGGCCCGAGATGATTTCTACCGCTGGTTCCAGAAGGTGATGGCCACGTTGGGGCCCCAGGTGGAGCTGCAACTGGGCCTGAAGGAGAAGCAGTGGCAGCTGAGCCAAGCCCAGGTGCTGCTGCACAACGTGGACAACCAGGCCATCCTCCTGGACCGGCTGCTGGAGGAGGCGGCCGCCCTGTTCAACAGGATTGGAGACCCAAGTGTGGATGAGGACGCCCAGAAGAGGATGAAGGCTGAGTACGACGCTGTGAAGGTCAAAGCCCAGGTGAGGCTTGGTTGGCTGTACCTTCCTCACTTACCAGTTCATTTCTCTACCCATCGCCTACCCTGCCAGTCACCCATTTGCCTGCTGATTATCCTGTCTGCTCACCTTCTGTCCACTGTGCCGTCCACTCACTCACTGTCTATGCACCTGTCCACCCATCTCTCTACCTACCGTCTACCCAGCCGGCTTTCCATTTACTGCCTGCCCATATACCTATTCTCTACCTGTCTACTCAACACCCAGCTATCTATCTGTCCATCCTTCCATCCGCTCACCCTCCTCCCATCCGTCTGCCCATCCACCACCCTTCCAGCTCCCCACCTCCTTCCCATATTTCTAGCCATCCACCCATCTATCCCACTCCCACGACTGTGCCCCACACCCTGATCTGGTATCCACACCCCTCCCTGCCCACCACCGCCCATCCACATGTCTCCTTAAGCACCCGCTCACCCACCCTGTGTCCTCTGTCCACCCATGGACCTGCCCATTCACTTCATCAGTAAGCGGTCTGTCTGATCAACACTTTGTGACCCACCTGCTCATGTAGTGCTGTAGTCAGTGACCTATCCACCCACCCAGGTGAAGGTTCATTCACACATCCGTTCTCCACCCCACCCCCCACCCCCATTGTCTGCTCCTCCAGCACCTGCCTTGCTCCCTCAGTATCACCACTCATCAGCCCACCCGCCACCTAACCCCCAACCCACTGCATTCCCATCCACCCTTCTCCATGCACCCATTCTCCACTGTGTGCCCACCCATACACCCACTATCTACCATCTACCCCTTACTACCCACCCACCCACCCATCACCTGTCTACCTGCTCACTAGGTATCCATCGTCTTTCATCTGTGACTCTTCCACTAGCCCTTTCATCACACCCCCCCACCCCATTCCGACGCCTGGCACCCATGGAGAAAACCACTCAGCATCCGCCTCACAACTGGCCCCTACCCTTCCCTGGTCGCCTTCTCCTATGCTCACACGGACCTTCTCAGGGTTGGGTGCTGCTCTGAGCCCTTGGGTGCCGAGAACGCAGGGTTTCGCGGGGCCCTCTTCCTGCCCTGCTAGGGAAGCCCCTCCACTGAAGGTGGTGGCCGAGGCTGCTGTTCAGCGCGCTCTCCTTTCACGTCCTTGGGGGCCCTGAGTCGCTAGGGCAGCATCACGTTGACCCGAAGCCAGAAAGCTACAGCAGGCCTGGACCCGTTCTTTGTCCCGAGCCCAGGCTGGGCTGGCAGGGAGATGCTCTTTCTCACTCACTTCCGGCCTGAGGGGCCACCCTTTGAGGCTGCTTCCCACTTGCAGGGGTCTCCACCCTGTCGGGAAGCCCCGGCCTTGTCTCCCTCTTGGCCTCTGGGAGAGCCCCAAGTTTTCCAGACCCACACGGAGGCTCCTGAGGGGAGCAGGCCGCTTGCCAGCAGCTTTTGGCTGGCTCGTTTAGAATCCACAGAAGCATCCTCCTTCCCCGGTTTCCCAGAGGCCCCCAGAGGCTCTAAGCGCTGGGTCAGAGCCAACACAGGGCCCTTTGCCTCTGCCGCTTGGCAGGGCTGTAGGTCGTGTTTCATTCAGTTGTGCATCTGGTCGCTGTGAGTCGGAACCGACCTGAGGCCACCCAACGACAGCCACAGAGCTGCCAGCTGCGGCTCCCCAGCTCTCGTGGGACCTGACTCATTTAATCCTCACTGCACCCCCACCTCGGGGTCCCTGGTGGTGCAGGGGTTAAGCACTCAGCTGCTTCTCCATGGGACAAAGATAAGGCAGCCTGCTTCTAGAAGGACGTTCAGCCTTGAAACCCACAGGAGCAGGTCTACCCTGTCCTATAGGGCTCCATGAGTCGGTATGGACTCCACAGTGGGGTTTTTTGGCACCCTGGCACCGTTAACCACGGGGAGGGGTGAATTACCAGCCTCGGGCGGCTGAGCATCCAGGCCCAGGCTCTTGACCCCCGTGGTACCTACTGCAGGAGGGCCTGACCCTGGAACGCCAGGCTGTGAGGCTTGGACCTGAGCCTGAGGAAGTAGGGAGCCTTGGGGGCTTCAGGAGGGGTGTGCTTTGAAAGTCAGACTTTCTAGGTGCGCTGTGGGTCACTGCAAGTCCCTTCCTGAGTGCCAGCCACCCCAACAGGGACACGGTCACCTCCCCAAGTGTCAGCCACCCCAGGACACAGTCTCTCTCATCCCTGTGTTCTCAGAGCCTGGCGGGGGTGATGAGACCGAGGTGATGGCAGCAGCCAGGACAGGGCATGGTGGGGGTGGGGATCTGCCACGCGCTCTGCTGGTGGCTCTCCTTTCTTGGTGGTCACCAGGTTCTCTCTCCCTGCTTCCTCGCTGGCTGGCTTATGCCCAGAGAGATGCCAGTGTGACCAGCCACCTCCGTTAGTAAGTCACACAGCCTGCTTGCATGGCACCACGCCATCATTTGGAGAGCGTTGTTCGGTGCCAATGGGCCAGTCATGACCCATAGGGACCCCATGTACAAGAGACCAAAACCATGCCCGGTCCTGCCCTCTCCCGTAATTCAGTTACACGTAAGCCCCTGCCACTGTGCCAATCAATCTCATCGAGGGCCTTGCTTGTTCGCTACCGCCCACTTTACCAAGCGTGCTGGGACTGGTCGCTCCTGACAGCATGTCCAGGGGACGTGAGGCAAAGTCTCACCCTCCTCGCCTCTCAGGGGCCTGCTGGCCGTGATTCTTCCCAGAAGGAGCCCCTTGTTCCCTCGGTCGTCCGCGGTCCTTTCTGTGGTCTTCGCCAGCACCCTCACTCAAATGCAGCGGTTCTCCTTTGGTCTTCTGTGACCTGGCCAGAGGAGCTGTATTAGTCTGGGTACTTTGGAGAAACAAATCCACAGCAACTCATGTATAAGAGAGAGTTTTATGTAAAGAAAATGTGCATCACGAAAACATCCCAA